AGTGCCTTACTAGTAGTAACAAGTGCCTTACTAGTAGTAACAAGAAGGCTACTAGGAGCAAAGGGCATCGCTACGAACGGCGCGTTCCTAAGATCTGAGAGCCCCAGCATGCGCCCATCGCGCCACCGATGGGTTCGCACCCCACGGGACTACGGCGGTATGCAAGGGAAAGACACTGCGACATCTCACGGCAGTCCTCATGTTATCCAAGTTGGTCTTGAAAACGCGACGTACATGTGTGAAAGTGTCTTATCATTTCTATACATCACAAAACCGACAGAAAGAGGGAAAGAATGAATCTCTCTATGTATATTATATATAAGAACATATATATTATATGCACCTTGCCACGTGGACTCGCAGCTCCGACTACCGACCTGTCAAGTCATTTGAGGTCCAAGAGTGAAAACAGGAGTCAATTCGACCGCTTGCTGCCGTCGCATCCGTCGACTCCTTCCACTGTCCCCTCATTTGTACTCGGGCACAGTAGCAGCAGTTCTTCCGCTTGCATGGTAGCGGAGCCCAACACGGGCTGGTAGGATTTGTTTTCCTTAGGTTGTAGCTCTTAGGTGCCTAGCCCCTAGGAGCATGTCCGAGCGGATAGAGCGCAGCAAAGATGGCGTCCCCCAGTGGGACGGTGCAGCTTCGACCTTCCAGGAGTACAGTGAAACCGCAGAGCACTGGGAACAAACGGTTCCCTACCACAAGCGATACCTGTGCGGTCCCAAGCTGCTGAATGAGCTTTCCGGCACGGCACGCCGGTTCGTTCTGGCAAAGCCACCGGGATGGGCATCACATGATGGAGGAGTTCAGACCTTGCTGACTCATTTGCGCCAGCACCTGGGCCTGCCTCAGCTCTCCGAGATGGCTGACTTCATGGCCCGCTACTTCAAACAGTCCAGGCGCAAGCGAGGAGAAAGCATGAACGAATACATCACCCGCAAGGCTGAACTTTACAGCCGAGCGGAGATGACTTTGAAGCGAGCACAAGGTCGCTATGGGGCATCCACATCCTCGAAGGGCTCAGGGGCACCACCTTCCCAGAGGGCACTCTCGTGGTGGGGAGGGGAAGAACCTCACGGTGAGAATGAAGAAGGAGGTGAATTCTATGAGGCCAACTCCCAAGAGATGAACAATGAGTCTGAAGCCAATGATCCAGGGACCGAGGGCCGGGAGTCAACTACCTGGCAGGGCTCTGAGTGGGATGCCTGGCAGTGGCCATCACAGTCCTCATCATGGGATTGGACCGGACACAACCAAAGACGGCAGCCATGGTCTCAGTGGGGCAGTTCACAGAATGACACCACTGGGGCCAACCACGATGGGTCGGCGAGCTTGCTCCCCGACTTTGACAAGGATGGTTCTTGCTCCAGGATGCTGGATTGGATACCAATGAACGCAACATGATCATGGCAGCTCTGAAGGGCAACTTCACCATGTCCCGCGTAGCCCAGGAGCTGCGCAACCAGTGGTCTGAAGACGAGCTGAAGCGCCGGGATCAGGGCAGCCGAACCACAGCATGGTGGTGTGATGAACCAGATCAAGATGATCCCTTCGCAGCCGATCAGGATAGTCCTGACATGGCATGCCTGGCTCAGTCAGGACTGAATGCCGAGGGTATGGCATTGGTCAATGAGGCTGAGACTGGGGCCCAGCAGGCCATGGCCTTAGTGGACAAGGGCCGTCGCACCCTGCGAGAGGCTTGAGCGAAGCAACACTATGTGAAACTCAGCCGTCAGTACTATGGACCGCCAGGACGCTTCCAACATCCCGGACGCCAAGAACCGCATGTGAGAAAGGAGGCCACAGCTACCACGGCATTGATGGCCAAGTGTCTGAGCTGTGGCGGAAGCCACAAGACCCAGGACTGCCGACGGAAGACCAAGGCATTCCAGGCTTCTCCACCTGATGAACACGAGCATCAAGCCCCCTTCATTTGCTTGACCGATCAGGTGATGACGGCCGTGGCTGGATACGAGGTGCACGGCAAACCCTCAACTCAGGAGGCCATGCACCAAGGCAAGGCGGTGATTGATGGCGGCGCCACCAAGACACTCGGGTCCGTGACCGCTGTCGAGCGCCTGATGGAGCTCAACAGCCAGCAGCACGGGGACTCACGGTTGTCCCGCCTGGACACGGACGAAAAGCCAACTTTTGGCTTTGGAAACTCCTCATCCGACCAATGCCTCTCCACCGCCTGGATGAAAGTGAAAGCTGGAGGTCGCCAAGGTGAACTGAAAATTCACACGCTCGACAAGGGCAATGGCCCTATCTTGTTTTCCGTTGAGGCCTTGAGGGCCCTCGGAGCGATCATCGATTTTGAACATGATTTGATTTGCTTTAGGAAGTTGAGCGGTGATCGCATAATTCAATTGGAGCAATCGAGTTCAGGACATCAGCTGCTCCCCCTGTCAAATAATTTGTATGACAACTCCCACCGGGCTAAGACCCCAGTGGTCAGCCTGAAGGACATGATCTAGGGACAACTCCTCCCTCCTTCCGAGTCTGCGGAAGAAAGGGAGGTGCCAGTGAGCAGCGCAGACAAGTTGTTGAACTCTCACGCTCAGCATTCAGGGTTGTTGGAAAGTGAAAACGTGAGACTTGAGAGACCCGAAGGTGATGATGTTTTGTCGGTTTCGCACTCGAATCGTGAAGTGAGTCAACACAATCCCACCAAACACATACCGGCATACTCTCCTCACAACCACACATTCACAGCCGCCGCAGCAGCTGCAGCATCTCAAGGTGATCGGAACGATCCTCCAGAGCCCTTCACCAAAGCCAGCACCTCAGATGCCTCGCAAATCCGAGCTGATCGAAGCGATGGTGGCACTGGGAGAACATCCTCCCAAGTCATGGACAGTGGCCGAGATCGAAAGCCGCCTGAGCGAGCTTCGTCAGGAACATGGCATCGCTCCTCCTCATACCGGCAAGTCTCGGACTCCACTGCGCCAGATGATGGTCGATCTCAACCAGGCCAGTCGCAAGAAGTCCAATCTCATCGATCATGTGAAGAGCCTGGGGGTTGCGACCAACGGCAACGAGACCATCAAGGTGCTGATGGCCAAGGGGATCCAGGCCATCTACGACAAGGCAGAACCCACCGGGCAGGACCCAGTGGGATTCGGGACTCATGCCTCGAAGACATACGAGGAACTGTTTCAGGGAGAAGCCAGCTACTGCCAATGGATTCGCACCATGGTCCAGGAGGAAGAGTCTGTCAACCCGAGATTCATGCGCCTGGCTCTGTGGCTGGACCATCGTCAAGAAGGAGGACGGCACTCGGAAGCCTCCGACCATGACAGCG